GCTGCTTAGGAGAGAGAATGGAAAACAAAGCTCATTGGCATCTTCTTTCCTACCCACATCAGACATAAATTGTCATCCAGTCTCACTCTCAAAATACAAACCAGTCGCACCCACTTATGCTACACTGCCATTACAACTGCTGACATATTGCGTATTTGTTAGAAGATCAAGAGGTCAGCCAGTCTCCTACCAAAGATCAAGAGTAACTTTGAAAGCCAACATCCAATTCATAATTTTCATACATCTTCCCACACTGCACACTTCAAGCTGTCGCTCTGCTCTGCCTGACTCTTCTTGCTTACTACAGCAAGAAACCAGAGCAGACTTGACCTCACAAGTAGGAGGAAACAGACAGCACAGCTGAACTGCAAAGAGCAAAAGAAAGCACACATAGGAACTTGTCCTTATTAGTGTGATGGCAGAACTACAAAGGGGGCAGGGCTCTATGAACCTGATGATCACCAGCTTATTTCACTGCAGCTCCTATCACTGTTTAATGCACATTGTTCATTTTTCTCCTCTTCCCCTTTCCATTGTTCTGACCTGGGCCAGCCTCACCATTAGACGAACTGGAAAAGCTGCCTTGGGTGTTGGATGCTAGAAGACAGAGCTGCAGGTGCTATGCAGCCTACATCACATACCTTAATCTAGCTAGTCAGCCTCAGGTATGCTGAAGGACTCTGTCCTCTCGCCACTGCTGAAGAAAGATTCAGTTATCCCTCTGGTCCCTTTCTGTATGTGGAACAGGGGTGGGGGATTTAATTGTTTACTTCAAGCAACATAATGTCTTTGGTGGGCCCTGAATGTGACCCATATTAGGTCAGCACACAACCCAGAAACTGAAGATTGAATACCGATGAACTTTTAACAAAAACCACACAGACGTGCCATACCTTGGTTTCTGCATTTCTGAGCAGTTTAGTCACTGCTCCAGTTCACCCACAGGAGAGGCAGCTGTCACAGATGGTGGTCCAAATTTCTGTTTCACACACAAGAACCTTTCTAAGGCCCAACTTGGTAAATGGGAAACACAGAGAGACATTGGGGAATTGCACCTACACATTTTCTGAAGCTCAGTCCATCTGCAGTCTGAAAACACCCTGCAATCCAAACCACTTTATTAAATAAAGCAGACCATGTACAGCATTCTGCCTTTAAAATGTCATTTAACAACCTGGAACTTAAATCATTTTGACTGCACATAAGAAAAGGAATAATCCCCTCTCAAGAGTGCACTTAATACAACCCCCCACCCCTGCATTCTACCTATTCTTTTAAGTATGCTTCAGAGAACTATTACAGACTGATACCCCAGTTAGCTCACACCAGCCCTCAGCTGTTCAGAACTTTGGAACTAATTTAGCCCATCCAAAGACAATAAATTAAGCGATGATTTCTTTAAAAGTAGGCAAAGGATTGGTCGGCTGAAAGGAAATAAACTTTTGCAGGGGAAGGGGTTAGGCGGAGTCAGCATCATAGGAAGCTACGGTCAGGCACTCCCCCCCACCCCTACCTCAATTATCAGGAGACCAGGTTTTGTATGTACCTCTTGCTCTGGCCTAGGAGAGTGAGCAAGGGAACAGGCAGAAGCAGTGAAGGGGTAGAGCGGTAACTAACACTGCCTGCTGTTCCCCGGTTCTCTGCTGGGCAAGGAAGTAGATAAGATGAGGAAGAGAAGAAGCAGGAGCTGGTAACAGGGGCAGCAAAGTAGGCCAATCAGATGAGGGTGTCATGCCTGTAGTCAGCACTGGGTCAGGGAAAAATAAATGAGACACTGTAAAGAATTCCATGCCTGTGGCAACTTGTTCTTTTCAAGCAGCAATCCTATGACTGGATTGGGCATAGTTCCCACTGAATTTAGTTGATGGCATGCTTGTAGCGTATTTAATAACAGGTTCTGTCCCTATGTTCTTAACTATGCTTGAATGAGACTGTTATGTGACATATTTAATAAGGGAAATTAATTGCTCATATTAATAGGATTAATTTGCAATTTATGGACAAACTCCTAATGGAACATCTGATCCCCGGGGTATGTACATGCATGTCTATTACATTCCATTTAGTATTAGCTCAAGCAGTTACAAGCAAGAATGATATTTGGAAGGGAAAAGCAGAGAATATTCAAGCATGCCAGGAAAGCCCCATATCTGTGCTCAACGTAAGTTGTGCAAATTTGCCTTAGCAACTGGACATTTTAAAGAATGTCAGCTGTTTTGGCAGAGATGAACTGCACACCGACGGAAAAAAAAGCCAAGAAAGCAGGAGATGCCATTGCCTTTTGTGCACAGAAAGAAACTTGAAGCCTGACCCAACACCTCTTTTGGCTTCTGAGGTACCTGGCAACTTTCTGTGCATCACCAGGCACTTACTGACAGCTATGAACAGCTCTTCCTTTGCCAAGATTGACACCAGATTCTCAAACGAGGGCTTGCTGCAAAAAATAAAAACCACAATCCAACCTAACAAGGAACCCTGCATTTAAAAGTCACTAGATCTTGTGGGGAAGAGCTAGTGTGGACCCTGCTAAAAACAGTTCCTGCACTGGCCAAGAACAGTTTCCTATGTGCTAGTGGCTATTGCAGACTGTTGGCATGCATGATATGGCTTCCTCTCAATCTCAGCTTTTATTTTATACCCCCTCCCACTTCCCAGGGGTATTTTGTATACTAAAACAGCAGCATTTACATGCTCACAATAAATTCAGTGTATAGCTGCAAAAATATGGGCCAGAGCCTGCTGAGCACAATGTGGAGTGAAATCTCTTTGATCAGTGAAGCCAGCATGATGCAAGAGAGGAAAAAGGTAGAATTATGCAAAAGGACAGATCAGAGAATTAACCTTTCTTAGAGCACAATTTGGATCAAACAGGTATACATTTTAACATACATGTAAGTTCGTGTGCAAATGCACACACAACACATCGGCACAGCTGCTATATGCAGCCTGCTTTATATAGCCATTTCTCCCCATGATTTTATACATGGGATGGAATTGTACTGGGTGGTATAGAAGCATTTGTTCAAAACCTTCAGTTGGCCCAAGACTATTTCAAAATTTGATTGAGAAACTATGATGCAGATCCCCACCCATGCAGTAGCTGTCAGTCAACATCCTTCCAGCTGGGGATGTGTGGATTTCATTAAATCTGTTCTGTCAATGTTACACAGGTCATTAGCTGTCTCGCATGCCATCTTCCATGCATTGATGGATTCATTTCTGTTTTTCATTTCAGACATGCTTGAGAATTTTATTCTAAGGCACATAAGTTTGCGTGCAAATGCACAAATGCAGACACAACACACTGTGTTAAATGTATAGCTTACCGCTGCAATAATTTTTCTTTTCCTTTATCCTTCCCCGAATTTCCTCTGTCTGTTCTAAATGAGTGCCACCATAGCATAGGGATCACTATAGCATTGCTTCTCTCTCTCGCTCTCTCACACCCATGGCATTTCACGGGGAGGAAACCTGGCACTCTCCAGATGTTTCAAACAATAATTGCCATGAACCCCAACCAATGTTCAGGGAATGGAAATCCAAAACAACTGGAGAAGCACAAAATATCAGGCAGGAATTAAACAAGAAACTGTACTTACTTGGTTCCAGATTGACAGTGCAGTTTTAAAGACTCATCTTTGCTGGGGGAGAAAAAGGCTACAACTGATATTAACTAAAACATCTCCACCTTTTGCCTAAACATCTAATCTGTGTTACCAGGAATAAAGTGGGCAAGAATTTTCTGCTTTGCGTTGAAGTCATTGTGTGTGGAAGAAAAACAAATGGATGCGGATTACAGAAATGAGAAGCTGATAGGGAAAGAGGAATGACGGAGTTCAGCTGAGCTCTTCATTTCACTCCTTCAGTTTTGCTGAAGATGCAGAACTCTGGGGACAAGATAGAAGTTGCCCAGATCTGATAAGAAACTCTTCCTCAGGAATATTTCCTCCCCAAGCTGTGGGTGCAGGAGATGCCGTCGCCAGAGATTTTCTGTTACCACAGCTGTTCTGCCTCAGAAATTATCAAACAGCACCTGTGTGGGATTTGTTTATTGCTCAGTAGCCAAGCAGCCATCCAAGAGTACTTCCATGTTGATATAGCTGTAGCTGCCTGGCCTTTCTCTGGTGCTTATTATAAGTGCCTAGCTCCAAGACAGGCGCCTCATGCAAGTTCCAAAGCGTGCTGATAATGCAAACAGGGAGCTGTTATAGCAGAGGCTAAGTATAGTATTTGGCCCAGACTTTCCTCCATAATCCCCACACAGATGCAGAAGACAAATTATGAATTCTATTCTGTACTTTCCACTCCCCCTTTTAGAAAAGGGGAGAGCTATAAAGCATTCAGCCTTTACTTTTGTCACTTTCATTGTATGGTTAATATTATTTTAATTATGAAATCATTTTTGGTTTCTGTAGTTTTATACCGTGAAAAACCCTTCAAACTAACTACAGGGAGGGTGGCATACAGATATTTTAAAATATTTGTTTGTTTGTTTGGAGTTTTTTTATGCCGTCCCATTCGCATAAGCCTCGGGGATGGCTTCCAGCACAATAAATAAACAAGCATAAAAGTAATACATATTAAAATCCGGATTCACCCTGGCTGTAGAAATTAAAACCACTAAATATTTATTTATTTTATATTGCGATTTATATCCTGCCTTTTTCCTACAAAGGGCTCAAGGCAGCTTACATCATCTCTCCTCCTCCATCTTCTCCCCACAACAACAACCCTGTGAGATAGGTTGGGCTGAGAGTCTGTGACTGGCCCAAAGTCACCCAGTTGGCTCCATGGCTGAGCGGGGACTAGAACCCAGATCATCTGAGTACCAGTCCCATGCTCTTAACCACTACACCACACTGGCTCTCTACAATTATTAAAATATTGTTTAAATAAAAAGGTCTTGACTTGGCACCAAAAAACAAATAACAATGGCACCAGGCGGACCTCTCTGGGGGGGCGCATTCCATAAGTGGGGTGCCACTGCAGAGAAAGCCCTCCTCCGGGTATTCACCCTCCTAATATCTTTCACAGAGGGTTCCCGGAGGAGGGCCTCTGCCGCCGATCTCAAAGGGCAGGAGGGCAAATATGGAAGAAGGCGTTCCTTTAGGTATCCAGGTCCTAAGCCGTTAAGGGCTTTGTAGGTGATAACCAGCACCTTGAATTGAGCCCAGACTTCCATGGGGAGCCAGTGAAGCTGGTAGAGGACTGGGGTTATGTGAGAATCGACCATTTCTCTATTTTGCACCATCTGAAGTATCCGGACTGTCTTCAAGGGCAGCCCCACGTAGAGCATGTTACAGAAGTCCAATCGGGAAGTAACCAATGCATGTGACACTGTCGCTAGGCGATCGTCCTCCAGGTAGGAACGTAGCTGATGGATCAACCAAAGTTAAAGGAAAGCAGTCCTCGCCACCACAGTCAATTGAGCTTCCAAAGACAGCTCTGGGCCGAGGAGCACTCCCAAGCTGTGGACCCTGTTCTTTAGAGGGAGTGCAACTCCATTCAGGACAAGGTCCAAGTCACCTAGCCTGGAGTCCGAACCACCCACCAACAGGACCTCCGTCTTGTCTGGATTGAGCTTCAGTTTATTGGCCCTCATCCAGCCCATTACCTCGGCCAGGCACCGGTTCAGCACAGCCACTGCCTCACTTGGATCGGTTGAAAAAGAGTGGTAGAGCTGGGTATCATCAGCGTACTGATGATTCTGCAACCCAAACCTCCTGATGACCTCTCCCAGTGGTTTCATGTAGATGTTAAATAACAAGGGGGACAAAATGGATCCCTGCAGAACTCCATGGCATAGCTGCCATGGCACAGAGTCATAGTCTCCCAGCACCACCGTCTGGAATCGGCCATTGAGATAGGAGTGGAACCACCACCATGCGGTGCCTCCAACTCCCAATCCCGCTAGCCTATTCAGAAGGATACCATGGTCGATAGTATCGAAAGCTGCTGAGAGAACCAGGAGGACCAACAGGGACACACTCCCCCGTCTCTCCTTGCACAGGTCATCATACAGGGCGACCAAGGCAGATCAAGTAAGTCCTATCTAAGCCAATGCCAATTCCAACCCCAACCCCTCCCCTGCACTAGGGCATTTGAAAGAAGCACCACAGACCTTGCATTCTAAGCAAGTGTTCTCCATTTCAGCCCCCACCACTGCAGGTAGAGCTGGAAAATACCCAATCTGAAACACCAACAAAGCACCATCAGCTGAGACAGATGAGCTTTCTTCAAGGTGGTGCCCTTCAGATGTTGTTGAACTGCAGTTCCCAAGAACTATGACCATGTTGGCTAGAGTTGATGGCAGTTATAGCTGAAAGTTGGCATTTAGGAGGGCTGGTGTCAATGAACCAGACTCGATTTAAGGAATCTTCTTGTACACTTCAGGGGGTAGGATGGGTGAATGTATGTTGTTTACCACTAGTTGTATCAAAGGGAGTATCCTATAGGTGTCCAACAGTAATTCCTACAGTAACTCCAGTTCTTGTTTTGGAGAATCGCACCAGCTTTCTTCACAAGTTATAGATTCTGAGTAATGAAATACCATTGGAAGTAACTGTGCCTGCAGCTTTCATGCATCACAAGTCTACAGGATTTCCTTTCTTGATCTAATGAACTGTTATGCCCACAATCATCATCAGCACACACACACACTTCTATGCGCCTTTGGCAATCACTATCTTATCTGTATCTGTGCTACAAATAGATAAGTCCTTATCCTTTTATTCTTTATTCACTCAGTCCTGCACAACATCTCTCACAGGGTGAAAAGCCCTAGGAAAAAGGAGAGCAGGAGGGAAAGGAAAAATTAAGAAAAAATATTTCCCCACTTCCCCAATTTTCTCTGGGAATAAGCATTTCTTTTTCTTGATTATTCATCCTCCTCCTCTCAGGCTGTCACATCTTTTAGTCCTGACTTCACACTTATTCACAACAGAAAATGTGCACAAGGAGGAATTTGGAACAGCTACCACAAAAACATCTCTCTTGTCCTTTTGCTGTATAATAGGAGTTCCAAATCTTTCTTAGCAGTGTAGAGATAAGTAAGAGTAAAGATAAATAAAAATTATAAAATAATCACAAAGAACTGCAACTGGACTAGCATAAAGAACAACATAATAAAGTTGCCATATCCAGCTTAGTATAAAATGGTACTTCTCTCCCATTCCTACCCTGCTAGTAAATTAACTGGCTAAAATATGAGTATTTCAACTAAAGCTGCCTATGTATTGCAATCACTAAACCCCCCAAAGTGCTTGAGTTCGAACTTCATGAGCCAGAACAGATAAAAAACAGGCCTAACTCCAAAGAAAACATTTAAAAATACAAACCACTTAAGAGATTTTCTCAGTCATGCTTTACGAGCATTTTCTCTACACTTAACTACTAACAAAAGATTAACATTTTCATTTTTAAAAATAGATGGATAGAGGTTGAGCACCTAATTTCTAAGATCTGAGAGTACAAGGAGGACCTCACAGAGGTCATATATTTAATGCTAAAGTTGCAAGGAATACTAAGAACCCCATTCTAATGTCATCAGACTTGTATCATTTTAAACGTACAGTGGTACCTTGGCTCACAAACGTCTTGGTTCATGAACAAATCGGGTCAGAGGCCCGTGGCTCTGCTTTGCTGCTCCTGTCTTTCCTGCAGGAGCGTGCCTCTGATCAGGCATGCCTTCCCTGCACAAAAGCAGCTGGGATCATGGCCATCTCCCCACCCCCAACTCACCATTTGCGCCCATCTCTCCCTCCCCCAGTGCGCCCATGATCACACCCATCTCTCCCCCCCCCCCGACCCCCCAGCGTGCTGGGATGACAGGCAGGCGCCTGCAGGGATGACAGGCACATGCAGGGATGACAGGTTGTGATCGTGCTGTGGGGGCGGGGGGATGGCAGCAATCTTTGTTGTTGTCACTTTGCGTCACATTTTTCTGATTTAAAAAATGGTTACAGAACGGATTAAACTTATTTACATTGAACCTTATGGGGAAATTTAACTTGGTTCATGACCAGAGTCCTGGAACAGATTAACTTCGTGAGACAAGGTACCACTGTATCTCTACTCTGTAAAATCAAGAACAGTCTTGTTCACATGTAATGACAACTCAGAGTATGAGCCTATAGTGTCATCAAATTGTTGATTATCCTACATGCACACCCTATGTTAAGGCTTAACTCTAGGTTGACCACAAAACAAGCCAGAATCCACAACCCAACAAAAAACATTGGTCCTCTTCCTGGGTTGTTTAGGTTGCTTAAGTTTATTATCAATAATAGTAACAGTAAACCACAATGCAGATGTATTCAGATGTAACAACAACCCATTCAGCAAGCGTCTACAATTCAGTGAGAACACACAGTTCAACAACAACCCACAATTCAGTCCATGCTCTGCATGCTCATTTTGATCACTGTATCACTGACATCACAGACCAGTTGCAGGAATAGACTCAACAACCATTTGGAATACAAGCATTTCAAGCATGACTACATCACACATGCCTTAGAGCACATAATGAAAATACTGGGGCAAAGGATGAAACCTCCATCATGACAACTGGAATAGCATTTGTTAAAAATGATCAGAACAGATAGGATACCCCTGATAAACAACAGTTAAAATAAAAGATAAAAACTTAAACTACAAAGACTGACATACACAGAGAAAAAAATACAACCAGTGCCCATTCAATAACACAATTACACCTAACAACATGGTGGGGGGACACAATGTGAAAGGGATGAGTAAGGTAATTTTTGACACTGGAATGATCACTTCATCACCTGCCACAAACCATAACAACCTCTAACCATATCTCCCAAATGCAGTAAGGACAAGAGAGAGTTCTACCTTTAAAGACAGAGAAAGGAGGTTGTTTCTAAAGACAGCCTTCATCCACAGTCAAGGTTCAGAAAGAAGATAGGAATGTGAAGACTTGCACTACACAGTGG